TCCCTCACCTGACGCGCAGGTGGGCACTGCGCGAGTCATTGCCTCCGGCTGACAGCACGCGGCAGGTGTATGTGCCGATGTCCCCTGACCACGTCTGGGAGATGTGCAGGGAGCCGTTCTTGTCCAGGCGGATGCGGGGGTTGCTCTCCACGCCCAGGGTCACCCCATCCTTCTCCCAGGTGTACCTATGAGGCAGGAGAAGCCACAGATGAGAGGCAGGGAAGCGGGAGCACGGAGGTGCGCTCAGCCTACAGCGGGCCTGGAGGAGGCAGCTCCAGATGCAGCTGGGGGCCATCTCCGGGCCATGGAGGTCCCTCCCCAGCCTTGGGCGGAGCCGCAGCAGCCTCAGTCTGTCCCCCGGGGGGTCGAGTGCCCTGCCCAGGAGGGCGAACTCATGAAGTCCTAATGGCCGTTCATGCCTTCTGCTGGGTCCAGGTCAAAACCTTGTTTTGGGCCAGAAGCCAGTGCTAAGCAATCAGCACGGAAGAGCCAGGAGAGGGGGAAGAGATTATAGCGGGAGAAGAATTAAAGTTCCTGCACAGACTACATTTTGGAATTAGTTTTATGAGGGGAAATCAGTGGATCGATGCATTGCTGTGACAAATGGACTTTAGTGTCCAAAAAATCATTTTGGCTTCGGTCAGTTGGTACAAATTCCAAACACACCCGTGCCTGACAATACAATGAATCTTCCCTGGAACTGTTCTTGAGAAAATGCAAGCATTACTGTCCTCTGTACATTCGGGGTGCCAGCTGCAGCAGTGACCCTTGCTGCTCCCCCAGGGCGGTAGGGCTGAGATCTCCACGAAGACCCGGGCCCTGGACACCCTTGCTCCAAGTGGGGGATGGGCGCTGAGCCCCAGGGTCTGAGAGCTCACTGGGTTTAGAGAAACAAGACTGCCAGGGAGGGACCTCTCTGGCGGCGCAGGGGTTAAAGTCTCAGTGCTATCAAGCTATCACCAGCCACTGCAACACGAGTTCCATCTCCGGCCAGGGAGTGACCCACAGGGTGCAGCAGACCCCTTCTGTCTCCCCGCTGCTCCCCTCAGCAGTGGGCTTCAGTCCATCTGCCTGCTCTGCTCCCCACTGTCTCTGGTGAGTCCTCTCACCCCCTGCACCTCTGGTCTACACCCTAGTTCTCGTATGAATAAAATAAATCTTTAAAAAAGACTGCCATGAAGGAAAAGTCGGTGACATTTTAAACCTAAGTTAAAACAATCAGGAGACTAATAAGTCTAGATAAGGATAAAATAGAGAAAATAAAAAAATGGACATTTGAGTGTGGGGACTCTCGACCCCATGGAGATGTTCTGGGGGGCTGCTCTGCTCAGCATCTCCTGTCAAATGCTGACTTGGCCACTTCCCAGCTCCATGCCTCGGTTTCCCTGTGCGGCATGGGTGGGAAATAACACTGCTGGTCTCACTGCTGAAAAGAAGGCGTGAGTTAACAGAAGATACGTGAGACGGCCTGAACAAGGGTAGGTGACCGACAGAAGCAAGCGTCGTTAGCCTCCCATCCATTCTTTGCCTTTTCCACTCAACAAACTATCATAAGCTCTTTTTAACGTGAATGGTTTCTGTCGGCTGCATGAGCTTCTAATGCTGCTCCTCTGTAATGGATCCAGTCACGCTGGATGTCCAGTTCAGCCCCTTGTTGTCTGACATCATAGTTAATAGTGTCATAAACACCCTCCCGGGAAGATCTTCTCATACATTCTAAATCACTTCCTCAAGAAGTTCTCTGTGGTGAAACTGCCGAGTTAAATTTGAAGCTTTTTATGTCTATAAAGTAATATACATAAAAGTAATCATGTTCAATTCTCTTTACCAAGAAAAGACTCATCCTTGCCAGCATTGATGGGATGAGGTCCACTTGACTTCAAAGAAGGTCTAGTTGCAGAGAGTAATTCCTGCCTAACAAACATTCTAAGCTAAGCAGACCCTCTTGGCCGAGGACATGGGACTTTGGGCGGCATGATTATGACCCATGAAACAGTGGTTCAAAACAACTGTACTCGAATGGAACTGGCAGGTACTTGACTCTAATTTGCAACGCGAGGGACAGTTAGAAGGGAACAGCATCATGAGGCAGTAGCTGGCCAACCCCGAAGTGGGATAGTCTATGACAGGTCAGCAAACTCTGGCCCCCTGTTTGTGTGTGTGTGAATAAAGTTTTATTGGCACATGACATGCCCATTTGTTTACATGTAGCATATGACGACTTTTTTCAGGCAAACATGGAGTTCAGTAGTTGTGACAAAGACTAACTGGACTTTAAAGCTTACCCACTGCCCTCTGGTGCTTTACAGAAAAAGTCTGGTCATCTGTCCCTACAGAAGTCAGTTTCTCCAACAAATCAATTACATGGAAACAAAACAAAAAGTAAAACAAATGCAGGCAAGAATAAAGGAGACACCCCAAACCAGGCCCTGGTTTGGAACCAGAATTCAACCAATCAGTACGATAGGACATTGAGGCTTGTAGGGTGGGTGGAATACAGACTGGGATCAGGAGAAATCAGGGACAATGATTCACCATGTAATGTGTGACAAGGAATTGGCTGTTATGTACCAAGAAAAGTCCTAGAAATGCTTTGGACATATGTAAGGGTGAAAGAAGATGTTCAAGATTTGCTTTTAAATATTACATGAAGAAAAGAAGTGTGAGAGGAGAAGGTTGAAACAAGATGGGGAAATGCTAGTAATTGCTGAGGCTGGGAGATGGGGTTATAAGGTCAATGTTACTAATCTCTCTACGCTGGGGCAGGTCAGAAAATTTCCATAAAAGAAAGTTGTTTTTTTTTTTTAAAAACGGAAGAGCCAATCAGTGTATTTAACTCAGAATAGACATTTTCCAACAATCTGTAATTACATAGCTGGCTTTTAAACAATTTTGATGAGTGGTTTACAGGGGTCCTCTCAGTTTTAAATAATATCAGACAGTCCTCAGGAAATCATAGATGTACTAAAATCTTTAGTTACAAGGACACGCATTATTTCTAGCATTAGCGAAAATTTAGAAACAATCCAAAGAGCCAGCATTAGGGAACTGGTAACATTAATTATGTTATGTCCACACACCGGAAGGGCAAATAATCCTATAGTTGAGTTTATACACAAATATTTAAGGACCAGGGAAGAGAGTCACAGTAGGTTCTGAAGGGACAAGTCACATTAAGAAACAGTGTGTTTCTAGTATTTTCCAAATAGCACCCAAATATAATATTCCTATTCATGGGAAACAGAGCAGTCTTATTCTCTCCTTCCCTCTCTCTCACTTTCTGTTTCTTTGGTTTATCTGCACTTTTAGTGTTTTCCTCCTAAACACAAAACATCTATTAGCTGTAGAATAAGATAAAGCCACCAGTGTTGATTAATACTAGTAATGGCTGAAAGTGGACAGCTCAGAGTAATGTAGGTGGAGTTTCCTTCTGAAACTGTACTGGGAGCTTTTTTTTTAAAAAAAATATTTATTTATGCATACAGTACTGGGGTAGAGGCCAGAGGTGCAGGGGCAGTGAGAGGCTTCACCAGAGACAGAGTGGGGAGCAGAAATAGCGGACTGACGCAGTACACGGCTGAAGGGAGCAGCGGGCGGGACAGGAGAGGTCTGCCGCGCCATGTGGTCACCTCTGGGGCAGGCGGGGATCGAACTCATGCGGAAGTGGCTTTAGCTTCTTAGTGCTGTGCTTTAACCCACTGCGCCACCAGGGAGGGCCCAGGGAGCTTTTTATGCCAGTCTCCTACTTCTGACTCGGCCGTCACCCCTGCACTCCAGCCTTATTCTGAGGACATGCGATGAAGCATGAGGTGACTTGGCTGTTCAGTGCCTCTCAGTCTACACTTGGGGACCCCTGGGGCACACCAACAGCTATGGCTGAGTTTTCTAACCTGGCTCTACATGAGGATGACCTCGGGGACTTGCAACAAATACTGAGGTCTGGGGTGTACCCACTGGAAGACTCACGTGGGGAAGGTGGCAGGGAAGCCCCCTGCCCCTACCAGAAAATGCCAGGTGGGATTGGAGGAGGATGGGTCCCTGCCAGACTTGGCTAAGGGGGTGGTCGGGGATGAGGGTCTAATTCTGTTCTCTTTTATATTTAGAAAAGATTGTACTAGATGGAAATTCCACTCTAAGGCAGAGAAATGGCCCTCCCCAGTTAACTCTGGGGACCTGGGGGGCTCTGGGAGTCCCGGGGGTGGGCCTTGTGGAGAAACGGCCAAAGGCTGGGTCTCCCTTTGTTCACGAAGAATCTAGCGAATGACTAAAAACACAAGTACCTTTGAAATATCAGTAGATAACAGTTTAACACATAAAGCGACAACTTATTTTTAAGTGCTACCGAGTTAATCTTGCTTTTTTGTGATTATAAAATGTTTCAATTAACGGATGCTAAAAGCATAGCTGCTCCGGATGTGCAGTTCTGACACTGGGCAACATTCTGGGGATGTGTGGCTTCCCCCAGGACCTTCGACAGCCGGAGCGCTCTTTCTTCCTTTGACAAAAGTTGAATAAAGCCAAGAGCAGGCGTATTCTGGATGATTGGCTGACAACGTTCTAATTACACCTACGTGTTAGCATTTGTGTCATCACCACGTGAGGACTGTCCAAAGGACCCAAGCTTTATGAGGTGCTTCTCCAACTGGGGCGCTGTGGACTCTGGGAGAAGCGGCTGCTCTGAGTCTGGCTCCCCTGAGCTCCCAGGCCCCTAGGCAGAGGCATGGGTGTCATACACCCAGTGACCACCAGGTGGCGCCCCAGGACGCAGTCGCCTCTGCACATCAGGGCAATCTGGGGGCGCTCCAGGGCCTGCCCCGACCCGGTTGCTTGGGCAGTGCCATTGCCCACGGAGAAGCAACACGGAGGGGGTGCTTATTTCTGAGAAAGCAGTTACATGTTTTGCTCAGCATCCCTGAACTCAGAGGAATTTCCTGATTTTAGCTTCTTTAGCTGCCTAGAGCGGGATGAAGGGGCAGTTAACCCCATGACCCTGCTCCCAGGGCAGAGGGTGAGGGAGAAAGGGGGTGGGGGGAGAAGTCTGGGCTCTTTCTGCTCACATGTGTCTCTTTGGGGTCAGCCCAGGCGCCCTTTCCTGCCCCAAACCAATTGCCCCCCTTTCGGTTACCAGACTCTTTGCTGTTTACTTGGCCAGCAGGGGGCGTCAGACTTGGGGGGCAATGGTAGTGGGGTCCCAGGCACTGCAGCGCACCTCCCACCACGCTTCCTCCCGCACCCTCTGTGCTTCATTTCCCGGCGCCTCTCCCCTTTTAGTTAGCCCGTACAGGGCCCCAGGGTTGATTTAGCACCCCAACATGATGGCCAAGTCCCCGACATGTTGGCCAGCACCAGCTTGGTAAGCCATCCCCTCAGGGCCGTGCTGGGTCCCAGGGTCACGCTCCCCTCTGCGGTGCCAGCCTCCCCGCCACCTGCTTATCCTCCACCCCCACCCCGTGTCCCCCTGGGGCCCCAGCAGGGGTGTACCTGACCGTCACTCTGGGGTCATGGCTCACACCACACACCATGGAGGCCTGGGTGCCCTTGATGACACTCTGGTCCTGGGGGGGCCTGGTGATGCGGGTCCGGGCTGGAAGACAGGAGGTGACAGCATGAGGTGGGGAGTCCCTGAGCACCCGGTGAACAGGGGGTCCCCCCTCCCTTCCCTGGTACTGTCCCCAGCAGCTGCAGTTGCTTCCGCAGTGCTCGAATCCTCAGAGGCTGCATCGGCCGCAGGGGCGCACTTGGTCTGCTCCCACACACGTGAGGGTCGGGGACACGGAGACCCGAGGCCTCGGGGCCCCCAACCGGCCGCGTGCCGGGAAGACACAGGCCGGCCGACGCCTGGAGCGGCGTGTTCCCTGCTGGGTGACGCATGTGGCCGGCGAAGCTCTGTGTATCTGGGGTGCGATCCCCAAATCTGAGAGCTAGAAGCACTTGAGAGATTCCCTAGAAGCGGGGGTCCGCAGCTGCGGGCAGGGCCCGCCCGGCGGCCGTGGGCAGGTCCGCTCGCCCAGTGTTTCCAGGGCTGCTGGCTCGGCGACTTTCCCCACGAAATGGAGAGGCCGGTGGCAAAGGGCCCGTCTGGCCCACAAAGCCTAAAATATCTCCTCTCTGGCCCTTTACAGAAAACGGTTTCCAATTTCTGTAAAACCAGCTCCCAGCCTGGCCAGGTCCGCCAGCCCCGCCCCCCGCTGCCCGCGCAACCTCGCTTTCCTGCTGCCTCCCTCTAAAGTGACCGGCCCAGCCCCTTTGGTGAACTGCTCCGCTGGGGTGCTGGCGGTGGGGGTGAGCTCTTTGGGGGTGTGTGTGTGAGCTCCTGCGCTCATGCCTGGGTGCGACACACTCACCCCACACGACCAGGTCAGCCGAGGCCTCGTCCACACCCCGAGAGTTGGTCGCCAGACAGGTGTAGGCGCCGGCGTCGGAGATGTGTGTGGGGCTGATGAGTAGGCTGCCGGACTCCAGGAGGGTGAAGCGGGGCAGCTGCACCGAGCCGCTGGCCAGGATGCGCTCTCCTGAGGGCGACGTGGGGGCTCAGGCACACCCGCCCCACCCAGCGTTCTGAGCTCACTGTGGGCCCAGCCCCCCATCCCACCCCACTACCCAGACCGCTCTGGGCCCAGGGGAGCTCAGGCTGGCTCCCGCTTTGGAGATGCTGCAGGGGGGTGTGTGGGGGCGGGGGGTGGCGGTTCCCCCTCTGGAGATGCTGCAGGGGTATGGGGGGGCGGGGGGGTGGCTCCCGCTCTGGAGATGCTGCAGGGGTATGGGGGGTGGGGGTGGTTCCTGCTTTGGTGGCACAGGGTCACAGAGCAGACGGCCCTGAGCCCAGGCCCCTGCGTCCCTCCGCCCACCGGGCTGTCTGCCCTTCAACAGAGAGGCCGCGCTGTCTCCTAGTGCAGCCGGGCCTCGGAGGCAGCTGGCACCTGGCTGGGGGAGGGGGCAGACAGCTCTGACAAGGTGGTGACAGGCATCCTGCTGCAGGAAGCTGCCGAGTCACCTTCAGGGAGGACACGAGAGAGACGGCGGGGGCAGCCAGGCGTGGGGGGTGCAGAGGGACACGGCTGGGGTGCGACCGTGGTCTCTGCAGAGACCAGGGCAGCAACGGGGTCCGGGGGGGCTGGTGCAGGGAGGGGGTGCCATGAGAGAGTAGGGCTCCATGGCCGTGTCCATTTGAGGACAGCCCCAGCGGCCTGCACGGGAGCCCTGGGCGAGCGCAGCACATGCAGCGTGCAGGCACAGAGCCCGGAGCGTGGCAGGGAGTGTTTATTTCCCAGCACACGTTTGCTGAGCACCTACTATGTGCCAGACTCTGCTCCAGGTCCTGGGAGGCCACAGTGGGCACACTGGAACCACTGGCTTCAACTGGCCTCAGTGACGGTCAATCAGGAAAATGAATGAGCAGATGCTCTTATGTGTGCAAAGGTGGGGGGCAGAGGGAGGCCTGGGGGCCCAGGGGAGAGCCTTGCAGCTCCGGGAGGTTCCCCTGGGCAGGGGCTGGAGGTGTGAGGGGGTGACTGCATGTGAGGGAGCGTGTGTGCCCGCAGGGACAGGTGAGGGGTCCGTGGGTGGGGCGACTTGGGCAGGGACCAGGCTTTCTGGTGCAGCGGCCTGGAGCACCCCCAAGCAGTTCCTGGGGAGAGGGGTGGTGCTCCCTGCCTGACAAGCCGCAGAGCATCGAGCGTCAAACAGCAGCTGCCACTTCCCAGGCCTGTCTCCTCGTGAGGGCCCTGCGGCTCAGAGTGAGGAGGTGACCTGGGGGTGCAGATCTCGGGCCTGGGCCTGGCAAGGCAGTGGAAGTGCCCAGGGGTGAAGAGCGTGTGACCCGCTCAGCTGTGCATGGGAAGCTGAGCTTCCTGGCGGGAGCTGAGCTCTGAGACCTGCTGTCAGCCGGGGCCCCGCCCCCGCCCCCCAGAACAGATGGGCTTTGCCTACCCTTCTGCCAAGTGATGGCCGGCCGGGGTGCCCCTGAAGTCTCACAGGCCAGGACCACTGACATGCCGTCGATCACTGTGCTGTCCAGGGGGCCCCTGGTGATGTTGGGGGCTATGCCTGCACGTGCAGACAGGGGGCCTCTTAGCCACAGCCAGGAGGGCCCCCACACCCAGGGGGCCCTGGCCATGCCCATCCAGGGGCAGACAGGGGGCCTCTTAGCCTCAGCCAGGAGGGGACCCCACACTCAGGGGGCCCTGGTCATGCTGGTCCCAGGCTGGTGAGGCCCCGGAGCCCCTGGGGCCCTGCCTTTGGGAAGGACCCAGGTGACCTGTCCCCACCCTGCCTTGGTTTTCCAGTTTGGGGGTCTGAGCGTCCCATCGCGCTGTGCACACATGACAAGGTCAGCGGGACTCATCCTTCCTTGGACATGAGGTCCAGGGTGGCGGGGCGGGGCTGGCCTGGCCGAGCTCGGCTGCTCAGGAGCCAGAAGCAGCTGCTCGGGAGTCTGCTTCCCAGTCCCAGCGTGCAGGGGCCTGACCCGCCAGCCCCGTCAGCGCGGGGGAGCAGGGCCCATCAGCCCTTCTGGAGCAGAGGCCAGCGGGCCGCCTCCGGCCCAGGCCGCCTTCGGGGTGAGCCCGCTCTGCCGGGTTGGCCCTCGAGAGCTCAGCACTGGTTCGTGGCAGTCACGTGGGTATCAGGTCCCAGGCTGACGCAGAGCCACGAGGGGCAGGGCCACGACCCCAAAGGGACTCCAGAGGGAAATGGCCAGCGGGCCCTGGTGTCAGAGGCTCGGGGTGCAGAGCCAGAGACCCAGCGTAGGCTCCTCACAGGGACCCCTCTGGACCCGAGGTCTCTGGGGCGGGGTGTGGGCGGGGCGTGGGCGGGGCGTGGGCGGGCGTGGGCGGGGCATGGGCGGGCGTGGGCGGGGCATGGGCGGGGCCCGACTCACTGGTGACCGCCAGGTAGGTGGAGGTCTGCGCCTCTCCGGCCGCGTTGCGGGCGAAGCACTGGAACATGCCTGTGTCGTCGGGCACCAGCCCGCTGATCTGCAGGCCCCCGTCCCCACGCTGCCGGAAGCGCCCCAGCTTCTCCACCTCCACCAGGGCGGCGTCCTTGTACCAGGTGATGGAGGGTGGCGGCACCCCTGGGGGACAGAGGCCAGGCCACCGTCAGCCGGTGCCCTTCGGGGGGGCGGGGTGCAGGGCGGGGCGCGGAGGGGGTGTCAGAAGTCGGTGGATGTGGCTTCACCCCTAGAAACTTCTGTGGGTGCCACTGTGGGTCTTGGGCGAGGGGAGGATGCTTTACAACAGCAATTCTCAAATCCTAGCGGGCGTCTGCAGGAAAATTGAAGAGACCCTGGCGTGCGTGCAGCCTGCCGATGCCCGGGGGACAAACTTCTATTTAATTGCGATATCTGGCAGAGCCTTCTGGTGCTCCGTGACCCTCCTGCTGGGGGTTGGCCTCCCAAGCCCTCATGACCACAGTCGGGTGTGAAGGAGCATGGAGCATGCAGAGGGGGCCAGCATGTTTGGGGGGCCCTGCGTAGCCCCTCCACTTGGCCTGCATGGGCGATGAGTAGGGGAGCTTTCTATGACAAAGGGCTGGCAGGGGACTGGCACAAGGTTGCTCCAGAGGGTTAATCCCCCAGCCAGAGGAGCAATGTATCCCAGGCTTTCCCGAGTCTCCAGGCATAAAGAAATGCCGTTGACTTTCCGCCTTAAAGTCTCACAAAGCCTACAGGGCACTTAAGGCTCTGATAAGTCCTGCAGTCAGCATGGGGCATCAGTATAGGGTCTCCCTGCCTACATTCAAACCCCAGCTCTGTTGCTTCCTACCTGCGTGACCTTGAGAACGATAAATTCCTTAAACGCTCTGTCCTCAGTCTCACCCAAGGCACGCCCCCATCTGCAGGCTTTTCCCACGCGAGTCCCCGCTGGCCTCAGCTCAGCTGTGACCCCCGAGAACTGGTCAGCTGAATGCCCCAAGCCACAGAGCTCACGTCTCCAGCCCCGGATCCTCCCAGCCACAATCCATCCACCCCAGTCTCTGCCCTCCCCAGCAACAGCCAGAGCCCGGACACGCCTGTCATCACCGTCTCTTCTTTCTCAGCAGCACATACAATATTGGGGCGTCTTACAGCCCATGACATTTAAGACGAAATGAATTGGGGTCTTCATTCCTCTCTCTGGGAATGTGTTCCTGGGGCAGTAGGGACTTGGCCCTGGGGCTCCCCATCCTTCAGGGTGGTGTTGGGAGGGAGGGAGTCTTTATTCACCCCTCCGTGGAGCCACGCTCTACCCCCAGCCAGCGCCTCGGACCCTCCATCGCACAGCCCCGTGCTGCCCTCCTGCCCGCTCAGCCTGGATCCCACCCCATGTTCGGGACGTCTTTCGGCTTAGCCTAGCCGGAAGGTGGGAGCGTGGGATGACAAGAGCAGAAAGGGGCTGAGCAGAGATGGGGGCGGAGGAGTCAGAGCAGAATTGCCCAAGCCCCGGCGAGACGCAAGGCCCCAGCTCTAGCAGTCCCAGCATTACGGTAATTTGCCATTGTCTACAACTCTCAAATTACGGGCAACTTGGATGGGTCACCTACCCTGACATACAGTAATTATGGTAACGTGGGTTGATTTCCAGTCCTGAGATTACGGTGATTTCACCTGTTTGTTTCCTGGGGTGTCTGCACACAGCCAGACTCTGCTCAATGCTCTGGCCGGGAGGAGGAGGAGGAATTTAGAGGGGACAGGAGAGGCTAAATCCTGGCAGGTCCTTGTCTGCCTCTGTCCAAGCTCCCGTGTTACCTTTGGCTCGACAGGGAACATCCACCACTTTCTCCATCTCTGCCGTGATGTGTCTTTCTGGCTCCTTGACAAACTGAGGTGGCTCTGCAGGAGAAAGAACAGTGGAGGAGATCAAAGCCATACTCCTTTTGATACGACCATTGTGCAGGTCACCGAGTACGCCCGGGCATCCTGCCCCGCGCCCTCTGGGGAGCCCCCGTGGCCCGTCCCGCTCACCCAGCACAGACAGGTAGGCCCCCCGGACAGCAGAGGGGACACTGCTGCTGCGCAGGACGGCCTCACACTCATAGTAGCCGGAGTCGCTGCCAGATGGGCTGGGGATGGTGAGCCGGCGGTTGTAGTCGCTGATGCCGCCTGACAGCTGTACCCCGTCCTTCCTCCAAATGATGTGCAGTTTGATCAGGGGCCTGAGGGGCGAGGGAGCGAGGCCTCAGCCACAGGGCAGCTGCAGGCTGGAGTGGCTGGGCAGGGGTGGCGGGGTGCAGCTCCCAGCCAGGCTCGCGTTGCCCAGCCTCTCTGAGGCCTTCTAGGTGCAAGCCCTTAGGTGAGTGTCTGCAGCACTCTGGGCTCAGTCTCCCTGTCTGTGAAATGGAAGCCCGGTACCATCCGGGGATGCTGAGGATGGAGACCTCTGTGCAGGACGCACTTGGCAAAGGTCCCACCCGCCACGGGGCCAACTCTGTGCTCCCGGGGTCCCGCCAGGCAGGCCGCAGCTCCCCCCTACTCCGCCCTGTGTGCTGAGCCCACACAGAAACCCACAGAGAAGCAGAGAATGGTGCCCAAGGCTGCTGGGGTGCTGGGTGTGAGCAGACCCTCGCCGGCCCCAGAGGCTGGGGTTCCACCCAGGGCCGCGCGGAGACGGGCTGCCGGCCTGCACGGGCCCTGCTCTGACGCAGCAGCGTGTCTGCCTGCCCTGCTTCTCCAGGCCGAACCCCAGCTGCTGTCCTGGGTCCTGCTGGGTCCATGTTCCCGGAGGTGTCAAAGCCCAGGGGCCAGGGGCACCGCTGGACTGAAGGGGAGCGGAGTGCACAGCACTCACCTGGCGTTCGCCACACACTCCATGGTCACCTCTGAGGTCCCGGCCACCACGCTGGTGTTCCTGGGAGGAATGATGATGGTGGGGGCGATGGGGTCTGCAGGTCCCCCTACATCTGGAGAGAGGGCAGGTGTTAGCTGGGGCAGCGGTGAAGTCTCATCTCCGCCCAGTTCCCTGGAGGCTGAGCCCTTCACCCCACACAGCAGGGCAGGTGGCCCCGGGCCGCCCCGAGCCGAGCCTCTGGACACGGACCCCAGGGGCCCAGCCCCTCTGCAGGTGGGCCAGGAAAGTGTCCAGGGGGCCCGTCCCTGCCCCCGCCCCTGCAGTTACTGCTTTAAGCGCCCCCCTCCGTTGATCTCATTTGTCTTATTTTTCTGTCTCTTCCAGCAGAATGCAAATTTACGGTGCCAGATTGAAGACTGTCCCCCCTACTTACCCACCCGACAGCTGGAAATGTGACCTTATTTGGAAATAGGCGGAGGCCCTACTAGGTCAAGTTAAGCGGAAGCCCTGCTAGGTTGGGGGGGCCTGTGTCCTCCAGGCGGGGTCCTGACAGGAAGAGAGGAGGCAGGCGCAGACGCAGGAGTGAGGCTGACAGAGGGGTGGGGAGGGGTGCAGCCGTGAGCCAAGGTGGGTGGGGGGTGGCCAAGGACCGGGGGTGGCACAGTGGGCTCCCCGGAGCGCTTCGAGGAGCATGGGCCTGCCGTGCCCCGATTTCAAGCCGTCCTCGAGCTGTGCAAGAATTCTCGCTTCTGTGCTGGTTTGGGGTGCTCGATGGCAGCCCCGGAAACTTAGACATTCCAGAGGCAGGGGGGCCTCATGGCCTGGGCCGGGGACTGACATGCGCCTCCCTAGCCGACTCCGAGCGCCAGGTGACCAGCAAGCCCCAGGTGCTGTCTGAGTGCGGAGACTTTAGGAGGTAGCCAGGTTAGGTGAGGTGATGGGGTGGGCCTCACCCAGTGGGGCGGGCGCCCTTGTAAGAAGGGCACCCAGGTTCTCCCCCGTTCTCCCCTCTTCCTCCATGCCCCTCCTCTTCCCGAGAGAACCAGCCAGAAGGTGGCTCTCTTCCCAGCTGACAGAGCCTTCCGCGGACACAACCACACTGGGACCTTGACCTTGGCTTTCCAGAGGTGCCACATAGACACCGTGGCTGTGAGTAGGGCAGCTGGCGCCAGCGAGGACCAAGATGGTCCGGCTCACCCCACTTCTCCCCACAAGGGATGACGCCCGGCGCGTTGTAGGGCTCAACCACATGGGTCAAGTGCAGGTGGCCGGCCAGACCCGAGCGTCCTGTGCGAGGCCGGCGGGGCGCCTGGGAGAGCCGCCCGCGTGCCGCTGTCTGGCGAACGCCCCCAAACTCTCCTCAGAGAGGCGGCAAGTACCCTTTCCTCTTCGACATTTTCTGTTTTTGAAGATGCGGCCGGGTCCTTGTCTGTGCCGGGCGGCGTCAGCCCAGTGTCGGCAGAAACCCCAACGCTCTCTGTGGACCTGCTCGCTGGCGCCCAGAAGACGACCGCAGGGACTTTCCTCTCACGCTCATCTACCCCATTGGCTGCTTTTCAGGGGGCCCCCGAGGTGGCGTGGTGACAGTGATGGGGCGCCCTGGATGGAGGGTGCCGGGGGGTCCCCACTGCTGCTCTGGGCCACCCCGGCTGGCCCGGGGAGGCTTTCTGAGAAAGCCCGGGCCTGGCTGGAAAAGGCGCACGTAGAATGGGAATAAAATGTAAAAAATAAAGTAAAATGAAGGGGGAAGAAAGGTAGCATATAAAGCAAAATAATTGCAACAATATAAAAGCCTCGTGTAGGTGCCATAAAGAGCGATCGGATTGAAAGCTGCTGATATAGCTGCACCCATAAAAGCAAGCTCTAAGTTGTTTATGACATGCCGGGGCGCGCAGGTACCATGGCCAGATTAATGGGCCACACAGAGGAGGCCGACAGTTCGGGCCCCAGCTGCAGGCTGCGCAGGGAGCCAGGTAAACAGAGAGGCCCCGGGTTTAAAGATATGAGGGCTGCTTGGGGTTCCCCAGGCTGGCTCCTGCCCTGGAGGGGGCCGGGGAGGCTGACACCACGCAGGGCCCCAGCGCTCCCAGGCCCAGGCAGCTGCCGGATACTGCAGAGGGGGGTCCGGATGACCTGTGCTCAAAGCCTGGGTGCTCTGCTCAGGTGCCCCGGGGTGTGGGGGCCTCTGCAGTCCACCTCACCCCCCATTCGGTTTTGTTCGAGGCAACACAGGTGTGAAATCACTGTCTCTGGGGTCATGGGCGAAGCTGTGTCGGGGGACCCCCAGCTCCTGGTGCTGCTCAGACGGGGCAGTCCCTCCCCTGGGCTCTGCCTGCTTGTGCTCAGGCCCCCTAGCCTTCTCCTCACCTAGCAGGCCCAAGTGATGGGCCCAGAGCGACCACGAGGTGAGCGTCACAGGCTGCAGGGAGCTCAGAGGGCCCGGGCCTCGCTGGGGCCCGGTACCCTGCACAGGGAAGGCGCGGGCTGGGTGCCAAGCCGGGCAGTTCTCGGAGCAGGGAAGGAGGGCGGGGAGCCCAGAGCGAGGCAGGTCCTGGCCCCGGGCGGCCCCTCCCAGCCTCTGTCCCTGTCGTCTTTGTGTCGGGGAGAAAGTGACCATC